GACACTTGAAGAGGCGTCAGTGTGTACAAAGATAGAGTAGTTTCGCACTCTATTCATAACGGAGTCTTGTCCATTCAGTTTGGAAACGACCAGCTACGACTGAGTGCTTGTGCTAGAAAGGCAGACTTGATGCGTGGGCTGGCATTCTGGGTGCTCTGGGCCCTCGAGGTACTCGCTTTGCAGACCGCGCTTGCGCTCATGGAACGTTCTCTAGATGGTCGCAGGCACGCAACCGACCCAGTCGCGCTTCGACGCGCAACGCGGCACATGCCTCACGCCGGCGTGGGTCACAGCGACTGCTGCCAAGCACAACCTCGACCCGTCAGCGCGCGACGCGCAGAACCGCCGCAAGAACCCATTGCTGCAGCCAGGCATGAAAATACCCCGCTTCACGGTACGTGCTCGTCAAAGCCGAAGCGTTCAGCACTAACATATTCCGGTGCCGTGTAGCTCAAAGACGCCCGCATGGACATCGCCAACATCTTTGGGTCGTGTATGTTACCCGGCGAGATCATCCGCGGTCTCGGCGAGACGGTGCACCCAAATGGGTCGCAAGCCTTTCCTGGTGTCGTCAACGGAACCGTGGTCATTGAGCGCAATGACTGGCAGTCCCACGACCTCTCGCGCGTCGTCTTGATCATCTTGCTGCAGGAAGTGGTATGTTGCTACGAGGATGTCAGCTTTTGTGAAATCGGTGGCTTCATAGGTCGGGTACGGTGTCTCGCTGTTTGAGACGGGGGGTGGTCTCCACTGCGCCCAGCGCATGTCGGGCCAAGGTCTTGGCCGCTGCACGCCGACGCACATCAACCCCGAGGTCTGGACAAGCGGCAAGCTCAGTACGCTCAACGTGTACGCCAACGAGACGGCGCCGACGACCAACGGCTACAACGGCGTGTACGACAAAACATCTGTTTTGACTATTGTTCGAAATCTGACGTGGCACGTCCAGAGGCGGTCTGTACACACTCACCGACAACGTCAAAGAAGCGCTCAAGGGGCCTTTATCGACCAAAGGTGCGGCATTGAGCAACGCGACGACCTATGGATTGATGGTGATGACATAGGCAACTTTTCCAAGCCGTACTCGATCGACTTTTGGCGCGACTATAATACGAGCGAACAAGTCATCAACTACTTTGGCTATGCCAACGCTGTCAACCGAAGCCAAATCTCCAAGACAAGCGCGTGCGCAAACGACTTTTTTGGCTGCATGAACGGCTGCTCCAAGTCCTACGCGTGCACGCTGGCCGAGCGGGACGGTACACAACTGACCTCGTACATCGCCTCCTCACATGCTTGTCACTAGGCAAACCGTGTATGCTGGTTGCGATGATGGTCGCGACGTATGACCCGGGGTACTTTCAAGCGCTCATGGCCAACAACCACATTCCCGCGTACTTTTGCTTTGGCGGCTACACGGGCATGCTCGACTACGTCATCAACGTCATGAACAGCGGCGGGTCCGTGGTCTTTTACGAGTTTGAGCCCGATATTCTCTTCTACCAATACCCGGGCAAGTTTACGCGTATCGCGTTTCCCCGCTCGGATCCCGCCAACGTGGCGCTTGCGACGGGCTCGTTTGGTGAGAAAGGCTACGGCAACGAGACCACCAACCCGCTCAGCACCGACTACCCGACGATCCCGCTCATGCGCTACATGTCCAAAGTCGTCACGACTGACACGTTTCTCAACTCGTTCCTCACACGCATGCAGCTCGCCCCGCTCGACATCAACAACATCTTTGCCGACTACGTGACATTCTCGTCCAACGCCACGATCGCCGACCCGGTTTTCGACGCTGCTTGCAAGTGGGTCCAGAACAGCTACCTCACGTGGAGCAACTGGGTCGACGCGCTGCCTCTCTGCACGATGCAGTCCAACATTCAGTACACCTTTAACGGCTGCAACGCGTCGACGCGGGTCGTGACGTTTGCGTGGAACACGCCCCACCCCTCAAACGCGTCACTGCCGTACGACTGCGAGGGCGGTATCGTGGTCGTGCCCCCGTCGTACGCCACGAGTAAGTCGTGCGACTGGCTCAGCGCCAACACCAAGACGTGGATGAACTGGATGAGCAGTCCACCGATCTGCGACGCGTCGTTTTACAACTACACGGTCACCGA